GTCCACTCCCCAGGATGGTACACTCCCCAGGATGGTCCACTCTCCAGGATGGTCCACTCCTCAGGATGGTCCACTCCCCAGGATGGTCCACTCCCCAGGATGGTCCACTCCCCAGGATGGTGCACTCCCCAGGATGGTGCACTCCCCAGGATGGTCCACTCCTCAGGATGGTCCACTCCCCAGGATGGTCCACTCCCCAGGATGGTCCACTCCCCAGGATGGTCCACTCCTCAGGATGGTCCACTCCCCAGGATGGTCCACTCCCCAGGATGGTCCACTCCCCAGGATGGTCCACTCCCCAGGATGGTCCACGCCCCAGGATGGTCCACTCCCCAGGATAGTCCACTCCCCAGGATGGTCCACTCCCCAGGATGGTCCACTCCCCAGGATAGTCCACTCCCCAGTATATTCCACTCCCCAGGATGGTCCACTCCCCAGGATGGTCCACTCCCCATGATGATCCACTCCCCAGGATAGTCCACTCCCCAGGATGGTCCACTCCCCAGTATATTCCACTCCCCAGGATGGTCCACTCCCCAGGATGGTCCACTCCCCATGATGATCCACTCCCCAGGATAGTCCACTCCCCAGGATGGTCCACTCCCCAGGATAGTCCACTCCCCAGTATATTCCACTCCCCAGGATGGTCCACTCCCCAGGATGGTCCACTCCCCATGATGATCCACTCCCCAGGATAGTCCACTCCCCAGGATGGTCCACGCCCCAGGATGGTCCACTCCCCAGGATAGTCCACTCCCCAGGATGGTCCACTCCCCAGGATGGTCCACTCCCCAGGATAGTCCACTCCCCAGTATATTCCACTCCCCAGGATGGTCCACTCCCCAGGATATTCCACTCCCCAGGATGGTCCACTCCCCAGGATGGTCCACTCCCCAGGATAGTCCACTCCCCAGAACTGTCCACTCCCCAGGATGGTCCACTCCCCAGGATGGTCCACTCCCCAGGATATTCCACTCCCCAGGATAGTCCACTCCCCAGGATATTCCACTCCCCAGGATGGTCCACTCCTCAGGATATTCCACTCCCAAGGATGGTCCACTCCCCAGGATAGTCCACTCCCCAGGATGGTCCACTCCCCAGGATGGTCCACTCCCCAGGATGGTCCACTCCCCAGGATGGTCCACTCCCCAGGATGGTCCACTCCCCAGGATGGTCCACTCCCCAGGATGGTCCACTCCCCAGGATAGTCCACTCCCCAGAACTGTCCACTCCCCAGGATGGTCCACTCCCCAGGATGGTCCACTCCCCAGGATATTCCACTCCCAGGATTAGTCCACTCCCAGGATGGTCCACTCCCAGGATGGTCCCTCCCAGGATGGTCCACTCCCCAGGATAGTCCACTCCCCAGAATGGTCCACTCCCCAGGATGGTCCACTCCCCAGGATAGTCCACTCCCAGAACTGTCCACTCCCCAGGATGGTCCACTCCCCAGGATGGTCCACTCCCCAGGATATTCCACTCCCCAGGATAGTCCACTCCCCAGGATGGTCCACTCCCCAGGATGGTCCACTCCCCAGGATGGTCCACTCCCCAGGATAGTCCACTCCCCAGAATGGTCCACTCCCCAGGATGGTCCACTCCCCAAGATGGTCCACTCCTCAGGATATTCCACTCCCCAGGATAGTCCACTCCCCAGTATATTCCACTCCCCAGGATGGTCCGCTCCCCAGGATAGTCCACTCCCCAGGATAGTCCACTCCCCAGAATGGTCCACTCCCCAGGATGGTCCACTCCTCAGGATATTCCACTCCCAAGGATGGTCCACTCCCCAGGATAGTCCACTCCCCAGGATGGTCCACTCCCCAGGATGGTCCACTCCCCTGGATGGTCCACTCCCCAGGATGGTCCACTCCCCAGGATAGTCCACTCCCCAGGATAGTCCACTCCCCAGGATAGTCCACTCCCCAGGATAGTCCACTCCCCAGTATAGTCCACTCCCCAGGATGGTCCACTCCCCAGGATAGTCCACTCCCCAGGATAGTCCACTCCCCAGGATGGTCCACTCCCCAGGATTAGTCTCACTCCCCAGGATAGTCCACTCCCCAGGATGGTCCACTCCCCAGGATGGTCCACTCCCGAGGATGGTCCACTCCCCAGGATAGTCCACTCCCCAGAATGGTCCACTCCCCAGGATGGTCAACTCCCCAAGATGGTCCACTCCCCATGATGGTCCACTCCCCAGGATAGTCCACTCCCCAGGATGGTCCACGCCCCAGGATGGTCCACTCCCCAGGATAGTCCACTCCCCAGGATGGTCCACTCCCCAGGATAGTCCACTCCCCAGGATAGTCCACTCCCCAGGATGGTCCACTCCCCAGGATAGTCCACTCCCCAGGATAGTCTACTCCCCAGGATAGTCCACTCCCAGGATGGTCCACTCCCCAGGATGGTCCACTCCCCAGGATGCTCCACTTCCCAGGATAGTCCACTCCCCAGAATAGTCCACTCCCCAGGATGGTCCACTCCCCAAGATGGTCCACTCTTCAGGATAGTCCACTCCCAGATAGTCTATCTCCCAGGATAGTCCACTCCCCATTATGGTCCACTCCCCAGGATGGTCCACTCCCCTGGATGGTCCACTCCCCAGGATAGTCCACTCCCCAGAATGGTCCATTCCCCAGGATGGTCCACTCCCCAAGATGGTCCACTGCCCATGATGGTCCACTCCCCAGGATAGTCCACTCCCCAGTATGGTCCACGCCCCAGGATGGTCCACTCCCCAGGATAGTCCACTCCCCAGGATGGTCCACTCCCCAGGATGGTCCACTCCCCAGGATGGTCCACTCCCCAGGATGGTCCACTCCCCAGGATGGTCCACTCCCCAGGATGGTCCACTCCCCAGGATGGTCCACTCCTCAGCATGGTCCACTCCCCAGGATGGTCCACTCCTCAGGATGGTCCACTCCCCAAGTTGGTCCACTCCCCATGATGGTCCACTCCCCAGGATGGTCCACTCCCCAGGATGGTACACTCCCCAGGATGGTCCACTCTCCAGGATGGTCCCACTCCTCAGGATGGTCCACTCCCCAGGATGGTCCACTCCCCAGGATGGTCACTCCCAGGATGGTGCACTCCCCAGGATGGTGCACTCCCCAGGATGGTCCACTCCTCAGGATGGTCCACTCCCCAGGATGGTCCACTCCCCAGGATGGTCCACTCCCCAGGATGGTCCACTCCTCAGGATGGTCCACTCCCCAGGATGGTCCACTCCCCAGGATGGTCCACTCCCCAGGATGGTCCACTCCCCAGGATGGTCCACTCCCCAGGATAGTCCACTCCTCAGGATGGTCCACTCCCCAGGATGGTCCACTCCCCAGGATGGTCCACTCCCCAGGATGGTCCACTCCCCAGGATAGTCCACTCCTCAGGATGGTCCACTCCCCAGGATGGTCCACTCATCAGGATGGTCCACTCCCCAGGATGGTCCACTCCCCAGGATGGTCCACTCCCCAGGATGGTCCACTCCCCAGGATGGTCCACTCCCCAGGATGGTGCACTCCCCAGGATGGTGCACTCCCCAGGATGGTCCACTCCTCAGGATGGTCCACTCCCCAGGATGGTCCACTCCCCAGGATGGTCCACTCCCCAGGATGGTCCACTCCTCAGGATGGTCCACTCCCCAGGATGGTCCACTCCCCAGTATGGTCCACTCCCCAGGATGGTCCACTCCCCAGGATAGTCCACTCCTCAGGATGGTCCACTCCCCAGGATGGTCCACTCCCCAGGATGGTCCACTTCCCAGGATGGTCCACTCCCCATGATAGTCCACTCCTCAGGATGGTCCACTCCCCAGGATGGTCCACTCATCAGGTTGGTCCACTCCCCAGGATGGTCCACTCCCCAGGATGGTCCACTCCCCAGGATGGTCCACTCCCCAGGAAGGTCCACTCCCCAGGATGGTCCACTCCTCAGGATGGTCCACTCCCCAGGATGGTCCACTCCCCCGGATGGTCCACTCCCCAGGATGGTCCACTCCCCAGGATGGTCCACTCCCCAGGATGGTCCACTCCCCAGGATGGTCCACTCTCCAGGATGGTCCACTCCCCAGGATGGTCCACTCACCAGGATGGTCCACTCCCCAGGATGATCCACTCCCCAGGATGGTCCACTCCCCAGGATGGTCCACTCCCCAGGATGGTCCACTCCCCAGGATGGTCGACTCCCCAGGATGGTCGACTCCCCAGGATGGTCGACTCCCCAGGATGGTCGACTCCCCAGGATGGTCCACTCCCTAGGATGGTCCACTCCCCAGGATGGTCCACTTCCCAGGATGGTCCACTCCCCAGGATGGTCCACTCCCCAGGATGGTCCACTCCCCAGGATGGTCCACTCCCCAGGATGGTCCACTCCCCAGGATGGTCCACTCCCCAGGATGGTCCACTCCCCAGGATGGTCCACTTCCCAGGATGGTCCACTCCCCAGGATGGTCCACTCCCCAGGATGGTCCACTCCCCAGGATGGTCCACTCCCCAGGATGGTCCACTACCCAGGATGGTCCACTACCCAGGATGGTCCACTCCCCAGGATGGTCCACTTCCCAGGATGGTCCACTCCCCAGGATGGTCCACTCCCCAGGATGGTCCACTCCCCAGGATGGTCCACTCCCCAGGATGGTCCACTACCCAGGATGGTCCACTCCCCAGGATGGTCCACTTCCCAGGATGGTCCACTCCCCAGGATGGTCCACTCCCCAGGATGGTCCACTCCCCAGGATGGTCCACTCCCCAGGATGGTCCACTCCCCAGGATGGTCCACTCCCCAGGATGGTCCACTCCCCAGGATGGTCCACTCCTCAGGATGGTCCACTCCCCAGGATGGTCCACTCCCCAGGATGGTCCACTTCCCAGGATAGTTCACTCTCTTGATTGAAATCTTCATCTGAAATAGTGAAAAAAAATTACGCTTTTTACCCCTTACATAGGCACAACACTGTATTTTACCGATTTTTCAATCATCTTTGTTTACGTTTCTGTCTCTAGTGCCAGGACTGATGATGTGGAATGACCCGGGTTCCGAAGCAGTGGTCCTGGGCTCGTGGTCTCGCGCTGAGAATTACGCCATCAGCATTATACAGGTGGGTTAGAGAGTCTTCTGTCATTATACAGGTGGGTTAGACGTTAGAGAGTCTTCTATCATTGTACAGGTGTGTTAGAGAGTCTTTAATCATTGTACAGGTGTGTTAGAGAGTCTTTAATAATTGTACAGGTGTGTTGGAGAGTCTTTAATCATTGTACAGGTGTGTTAGAGAGTCTTCTATCACGATACAGGTGTGTTAGAGAGTCTTCTATCATTATACAGGTGTGTTGGAGAGTCTTCTGTCATTATACAGGTGTATTAGAGTCTTCTGTCATTATACAGGCGTGTTAGAGAGTCTTCTGTCGTAAGTAAGGTTCCAGACTGTGTGGGCAGTTACTATGTGGGAATTTACGAGGTTGGGGTGAGACGTATGTTGTCTGACATGCCTGGCAGGTAGGATGGGATTTTCCAGTCATACTCCATCACGTCATACTCCATCACACTGGATGGTTTTCAAGTTATACTACATCACGTTGAATGTTTTTCGAGTAGCACTTCACACAGGATGGAGTTCCTCTCCTCCACAGGGACTCCACCGGACGTTTGATGACTTGGAATAAGACACAACTCGTCCTCACCGAACTTAGACGCTGACGATGTCTGGAAGCCTCGCTAATCGCCGTCACAGACACCATAGAACACAATCCTGGAACCCACAAATTTTCGAAAACATTGGCATACATAATACTCAACCAGGCAAAACACCACCTACCTAACAACACAGGAGTCACATGACTCACGAAATCGTAATGACACGATTGCAAACAAACCATACCACGAGTTTTGAGACTCTCTGACCGCGGGTTCAAATCCCGCCCGTGGTATGTTTTTTTAGGAGTCACATTATCCCATTGTCTACCTGACCTTATCTCAAATATGTCATTTGTCGGGTCACTTTGTGTCACTCACACCCCACTCTCCGCCTATATATACTGTTATATTAATCTCTCTGTGTTTGAAGTGATCAAGGTGCCAGGACCGAAACGTTTTCTAATAAATATGTCCTAATGTTTGCATACGTGCCTTTTTAAACCAGAGCGAAATTACGTTTTCTTATACATTTTCCCTATGCAGGTAGTGAACCATCACGGGTCTGGTTGGGTGAACTGGAACATAGCCCTGAACCTGGCTGGTGGACCAAACTGGGCCGGTAATTTGGTTGACGCCCCTATCATCATCAATGAAGTCAGTGTATATTAATACATCTATGTCTTTATATTAAGTACACGTCTTATTTTTCATAAATAGTTACAGTTTTATAACTTAACAGCCTCGCCAGTCTAGGTATTTCACACCTTACCAACAGTGAAAAGCCACAGAACGGGTGATGGTTTGAACTATTGGTCAGGAAGCCTTAAATCTCGCAGGCCAGTGTGTTAACAACAGGTCCATTCCGGCCTTAAATGATTCATCCAACTTTGTATGTTTTTATACACCATAGAAATGTCAACATGTGAAGGTTTGTTTTTGAGAAGGATTTGCCTAGAATGGGCCAGTAGACCTGCTGCAGTGTTCCTCCTTGCTCATGTTCTTATGTTTCTATTGCAGGAAGCTGACGAGTTCTACAAACAACCTATGTTCTATGTGATGGGTCACTTTAGTAAGTTTGTTGTAGCTGGGTCTAGGATGCTGCCCTCCAGTATTGAGGAGCTGGACTCACACCAGGTCCACACTGCTGCCTTCCTACGACCTGATGGACCCATCGTGATCGTTCTTCTTAACACGTAAGATTCTTTGTATTTAAAATTAAGACACATGTGCAGCAGTTGGGTATCTTTATAGGTGAAACATTTCGCCCTCACAGCAGGCTTCTTCAGTCAAATACAGAGGCAGCAGTAGTAATGAAATAAAGATGATGTAATTAGTCCATCAACCTTAAAGAAAAAGTATTTGAGGTGGTCAGTCCCTCAGCCTGGAGAAGAGTTCAGCTTCATGGTCTGGAACGGTATCGTTCCAGACCATCAATAAAGATACCCAGTCGTTGTACATGTGTCTTAATCTTAAAGTTGTCTGTATTTTATAACATTTTCAACAGGTTCTTTGTATTGTTAGATAAATGGTTCAGAGAACCGACAAGGTGAAAAAGGAGGAACTCCAAGCAAATACGTTCCTCTGAACGTATTTGCTTGCAACACTCCTTTTTCTGCAACACTGCAAGCTTCTGATGATGTTTATTGCAACACGATTGTTTCACATCGTATGTGATGTTTTTACTATTCCTTGATAATGTGAGAAATCATGAAAGCGCTTAGAATTTCACTATTTTTTTCACTGGTTATTTTGCATATTATGATAACACCTGTTTACTGTGATCTTATTGCATATGATGTTTTGTGATTAAGACACGTGTGCAACAGTTGGGTATATTCAAGGTATACACTGTAAACTTCTTCAGTTAAATACAGATACAGCAGGTGTAGAAGTGAAATGATGTAATCAATATTTGAGGTGGTCAGTCCCTTAGCTGGTCTTTTCCAGGCTAAGGGACTGACCACCTCAAATCCTATTTTTCCAAGGTTGACGGGTTCATTACGTCATATTCGTTTCACTACTACACCTGTTCCCTCTGTATTTGACTGAAGAATCCTACTGTGTAGGCGATACGTTTCCACAACAAACATACCCAACTGTTGCACTTGTATCTTGATCATCAACGTATCGGTATTATATAGTATTTTCAACGTAAGATGTTTTGTGTTGCCAGAGGTGAGGCAGAGCTAGACTTGAGTGTGGATGTTGCAAGTGAAGGCTACGCCACTTTGCACCTTCCTGCTAAAACAATACAGACCGTCATTATTGCTGGGGATCACCAGCAAGCCAAGTCTCACTCCAAGACCAAGTTTACCAAGACACAAAGCTCCGACGACGACCGAAGCTAAATTCTTGATGCGGTCGTCCTGACGTCAGTAAAGAGATCATAACATTCCCAATACAAGACCATCATTATTGCTGGGGATCACCAGCAAGCCAAGTCTCACTCCAAGACCAAGTTTACCACCAAGACACAAAGCTCCGACGACGACCGAAGCTAAATTCTTGATGCGGTCGTCCTGACGTCAGTAAAGAGATCATAACATTCCCAATACAAGACCATCATTATTGCTGGGGATCACCAGCAAGCCAAGTCTCACTCCAAGACCAAGTTTACCACCAAGACACAAAGCTCCGACGACGACCGAAGCTAAATTCTTGATGTGGTCGTCCTGACGTCAGTGGTGAGGCTGTAACATCCCATTCACATGGTCTTCAGAGGTGAATTAAGAAATTAAACGAAGACGCCAGTTGATAAAAGACCATATCTTACGTGATATTGAATTTGCTACAAGATGGGCCATTACGAAGAACAAAAAGGCACAATACAGTGACTGGAACAATACACAAATAACTCGCACATAGGAGAGAGGAGCTTATGACGACGTTTCGGTCCGACTTGGACTATTAACTATTAACAAGCGTGGCTAGTTAATTGTCCAAGTAGGACCGAAACGTCGTAATAAGTTTCACTCTCCCATGTCCGGATTATTTGTGTACTGGACCATTACCAAAATCCTCTCGTGTAAATACTTCATTGTTTAGGTAAGACACATATGCAACAGTTAGGTATCTTTATTTCGAAACGTTTCGCCTACACAGTAGGCTTCTTCAGTCGAGTACAGAAAAGTTGATAGAAGCAGAAGAGACTTGAAGACGATGTAATCAGTCCATCACCCTTAAAGTTTTGAGGTGGTCAGTCCCTCAGTCTGGAGAAGAGCATTGTTCCATAGTGTGGATATTATTCCACACAATGGAACAATACTCTTCTCCAGACTGAGGGACTGACCACCTCAAAACTTTAAGGGTGATGGACTGATTACATCGTCTTCAAGTCTCTTCTGCTTCTATCAACTTTTCTGTACTCGACTGAAGAAGCCTACTGTGTAGGCGAAACGTTTCCAAATAAAGATACCTTACTGTTGCATATGTGTCTTACCTAACAACCTGTCGGTATTTTATACCATTTTATTATTCAAATACTTCATTACCACTGTAACTTGTTCATTACCACTGTAACTTGTTCATTACCACTGTAACTTGTTCATTACCACTGTAACTTGTTCATTACCACTGTAACTTGTTCATTACCACTGTAACTTGTTCATTACCACTGTAACTTGTTCATTACCACTGTAACTTGTTCATTACCACTGTAATTTGTTCATTACCACTGTAACTTGTTCATTACCTCTGTAACTTGTTCATTACCACTGCAACTTATTCAGCTATCAAAACTTTGCGGTCCAATCCCTGGACCCATTATGTACCTCTGTAATGTTGAAGTACAGTCCCTGGACCCATTATGTACCTCTGTAATGTTGAAGTACAGTCCCTGGACCCATTATGTACCTCTGTAATGTTGAAGTACAGTCCCTGGACCCATTATGTACCTCTGCAATGTTGATGTACAGTCCCTGGACCCATTATGTACCTCTGTAATGTTTAAGTACAGTCCCTGGAGCCATTATGTACCTCTGTAATGTTGATGTACAGTCCCTGGACCCATTATGTACCTCTGTAATGTTGAGGTACAGTCCCTGGAGCCATTATGTACCTCTGTAATGTTGAAGTACAGTCCCTGGACCCATTATGTAAACCCCTTTTAAAAGTTGTGGGACCCTCCCCGGAACCCCTTATTGGCCCTGAATGTTTATGTAAAATCCCCGGGGCCCCTTTTTTAACCCCCTTTTTAAGTTGATGTTTAAAACCCTGGCCCAAATTTTGTACCTTTTATTTAAGGGTTGATGTACAGGGGCCCCCGGACCCATTAAGTCCTCTGTAATGTTGATGTACAGTCCCCGGACCCCCTTTTGACCTCTGTAATTTTTGATGTACAAATCCCCGGACCCCTTATGACCTCTGTTTTTGTTGATGTAAAAGTCCCCGGACCCCCTTATGTACCTCTTTTAATGTTGAAATTTCAGTCCCCGGACCCATTATGTAACCCCCATTTTTGATGTTTCAGTCCGGGCCCATTATGTACCTCTGTAATGGTTTATGTACAGTTTTCTGGGCCCATTATGTACCCCTACAATCTTTTGACTGTACCCAAAAAGGGCAGGTGTGCATAATAAAAATTTAACCAAAAATACACTGTTTGGGTCGTTTAAGACCCCTCAAACCCCCAGGGTCAGAAAACCCTTTAAAAACCCCGGAGTCAGAACCCAACAAAACCCTCCAGGAGTCAGACCGGGCCTCAAACCCCCCAGGAGTCAGACCCGAAACCCTCCCGGAGTCAGACCCGCAAACCCCCCAGGTTCAGGGCCCCTTCCAAAAAACCCCCCAGGAGTCAGGAACCCCCCAAACCCTCCCGGGAGTCAGGCCCCCAAACCCTCCAGGGTCCCCGACCCGTTCCCAAACCCCCCAGGGTTTGACCCCTCAAACCCCCCAGGAGTTTGGGCCCGTCAAAACCCCCAGGAGTAAACCCCTCAAACCCCCCGGGGTCAGACCCCCAAAACCCCCCAGGAATCAACCCGTAAAAAAACCCCCCCAGGAGTCAGACCCCCTCAAAACCCCCCAGGGGTCGGGCCCGGGCAAACCCTCCAAAGGGGCCGCCCGTCCCAAACCCCCGGAGTCGACCGCTCAAACCCCCAGGGGTCAGACCCCCAAAACCCCCAGGGAGGTTTAAAGGGCCCTCAAACCTCCGGAAGTCAAACCCGCAAAACCCCCCAGGGGTCCCCAAACCCCTCAAACCCCAAAGGGGGCAGACCCCTCAAAACCCCGGGGGCAGACCCGTCAAAAAACCCCAGGGGGTCAGAAACCCCTCAAACCCCCCAGGGGTTAAAAACCCCTCAAAACCCTTTCCCGGGGTCCCGACCCCCCAAACCCCCCAAGGGGGCAGACCCCTCAAAAACCCCCAAAGGGGTTTCAGACCCGTCAAAACCCCCAGGGGTTTAGAACCCCTCAAACCCCCCGGGATAGACCCGAAAACCCCCCAGGGGTCAACCCGTTTAAACCCTCCACGGTCCAAAACCCCTCAAAACCCCCCAGGGGTCAGACCCCTCAAACCCCCCAGGGGTCCCCGACCCCTCCCCAAAACCCCCCGGGGGCAGACCCCTCCAAAAAAACCCCCCAGGGGGAGACCCCTCAAACCCTTCCCCGGAGTTTATCCCCTCAAACCCCCCAGGGGTAGACCCCTCAAAAAACCCCAGGGGGCAGACCCCTCAACCCTCCAGGGGTCGACCCCTCAAAACCCCCCAGGGGTCAGACCCCTCAAACCCTCCAGGGGGGAGACCCCTCCCAAACCCTCCAGGGGTCAGACCCGTCCAAAAACCCCCCCGAGGTCAAACCCCTCAAACCCCCCAAAGGGGTCAGACCCCCTCAAACCCCCCAGGGGGGTCAGACCCCTCAAACCCTTTCCCGGGGGGGCAGGGCCCGTCAAAAAATCCAGGGGGGGCGACCCTCAAAACCTTTCCCGGAGTCAAAACCCCTCACACCTCCCGGGAGTCAGACCCGGCAAACCCTCCCGGGGGCGACCCGTCAACCCCCCCAGGGTTTAGACCCGTCCCCCCAGGGGGGTCAGACCCCCTCAAACCCCCCCAGGGGTCAGAACCCCTCAAACCCCCCAGGATCAGGGACCGTCAAACCCCCCAGGAAATCAGACCCCTCCCAAAAAATCCAGGAGTCAGAACCCCCAAACCCCCCCAGGAGTCCCGAACCCCTTCCAAAACCCCCCAGGGGTCGACCCCTCAAAAACCCCCAGGAGGGAGACCCCCTCAAACCCTTAGGAGTCAGACCCGTCAAAAACCCCCCCAGGGGGGCGGGCCCGGGCAAAAACCCCAGGGGTCAGGGGCCCCTTTAAACCCTCGATGGGTTTAGAACCCCCTCAAACCCCCCAGGGGTTTAGACCCCTCAAACCCCCCAGGAGTCACCCGTCAAACCCTCCAGGGGTTTAGACCCCTCAAACCCCCCAGGGGTCAGAACCCCTCAAAACCCCCCAGGGTTCCAAAAACCCGTCAAACCCCCCAGGGGGGCAGACCCTAAAACCCCCCAGGATCGACCCCTCAAAAACCTCCGGGGGGCAGACCCGTCCCCAAAACCTACCTAGTCAGACCCGGGCAAACCCCCCCAGGGGTCAGACCCCTAAACCCTCCCGGGGTCAGGTTCCGGAAAAAAACCCCCCAGGGGTCAACCCCTCAAACCCCCCGGGGGCAGACCCCTCAACCCTTGGGGTCAGACCCCTCAAAACCCCCCCAAGGGGGTTTGAACCCCTCAAACCCTTTCCCGGGGTCAGGGGGCCCCTCAAACCCCCAGGGGTCAGAACCCCTCCAAACCCCCCAGGGGGTCAGACCCCCTAAAAAACCCCCAGGGGTCAGACCCCTAAAGGGGGCCCGGGGGGAGGGGCGGTTTAAAACCCCCCAAAGGGGCGACCCCTAAACCCCCCAGGGTCAGACCCTTTAAACCCCCCGGGCCCGACCCGGGCAAACCCTCCGGGGTTCCCGGGCCCGTTTAAAAACCCCCCAGGGGTTTAAAACCCGTCAAACCTCCCCGGAGTAGAACCCCTCAAACCCCCCAGGAGTCCCGACCCGTTCCCAAAACCCCCCAGGGGTCAGACCCCTCCCAAAAAACCCCCAGGGGTTCAAAACCCGTCAAAAAACCCCCCCGGGGCAGAACCCCGTCCCCAAACCCCCCAGGGGTCAACCCGTCAAAAAAACCCCCAGGGGGCAGACCCTAAACCCTCCAAGGGGTCAGCCCTTCCAAAAACCCCCCAGGGGGTTTAAGGAAAAGGAAGGTTTTAGACCCCCCAAAAAAACCCCCCAGGGTTTAGACCCCAAAAACCCGGGGCAAAAAACCCCCCAGGGATCAAACCCTTTAAAAAAACCCCCCAGGGGTAGACCCCCAAACCCCCAGGGGGCAGACCCGTCCCAAACCCCCCAGGGGGCAACCCCTCAAACCCCCCAGGGGTTCCCGACCCCTCAAACCCTCCAGGGGGTCAGACCCTTTAAACCCCTCCAGGGGGAACCCCTCAAAACCCCCCAGGGGTAGGGGGCCCGTCAAAACCCCCCAGGGGTTTAGGGAATCTAAACCCCCCAGGGGTCAACCCGGCAAACCCCCTTTCCCGGGGGGCAACCCCCTTTAAAAACCCCCCCAGGGGGGCGGGCCCGTCAAACCCCCCAGGGGGGCAGACCCGGGAAAACCCCCCCAGGGGGGCAGAAACCCCTTCCCAAACCCCCCAGAGGTCAGGGCC